AACGGTGAGCCCGTCACTACTCTATCCTTTTGTCTGTATATTACCCCCCCTGAAATAAAATAGCAAACTGCTAGTAAACAGCATGAGCAGTTGTTCCAATGGACTATGCGAAGGGCTAACGTTCAACTGATGTGCTCGAAAGATGTCGCATAGATAGTCTATTGTCTTCTCTAAAAGAATCAGTAAAGAGTAGTAGGATGTCCAACAAAAACATATTCCTTCCGGATAGCTCAAGATGTCTTGTGGAGTCGAAAAAGCTGAATGTATCACGGAGACTATATATGCATACAGCTTTTGCAGCGGTTCTAAAAGTTTGGCTGTTGCTTAGTACTGTGAGTTGCGCATGTCCAATGTGGGTTTTAGTGGAAGCCCCTATTGATGTACTTGCTGCAAGCCGTGAAGTCCCGGAATCGCCGTCCCTGTGGCCCGAATGTGTTTGAACCTAGCAAATTCCATCACGCTTTCTTGATTCAAGCACCGTAGAAGCTTGGTTGCTGTCGTTTCGATTGCGTTGTTTTGTCCTCTCATTCTCCATTTTATGAAACTTTTAGCAATCGCTGAGGACGACCATCATCTTGTTGTTACAGTCAGTTTTCTTCAGCAGAACTATCCTTGCCCGTTTATCCGGCATGGAGAGCAACACATTCTTGTCTTTCCTCAACAAATACTTAAGTTTGGGTTTCTGCTTCAAATTTTGGTAGTATTTTAACCAGAACGTTAATACTCACAAAGAAGAAAGCGCACACACTTGAGCATACACTTCTCGAATTGGACCTTTAATCCTAGTTGACTTGAATAAATACGGGGAAAGCAGAAATCTGGACCGAGTGAAAGTGCCACAAGCAGTCTTATAGAGTGCAACGAGGAAATATTGTGAACATATATTTCCGGGTCGGGTGGAAAGAAAGTGTTTGTTTTAGTCAGGCTAACTTGTTGCTGAAACGAGGCTAGGCGTTATTACTCTTGCTTTGTGATTAGTTGTTAAACAAATGTTTCGAATCGCTAACGGAAAGCCACGTGAACACCATCCGCCCGTGTTACGCAGTTCCAGTGACCCGAATGACTGATACTCACTCCGAACAATACAAATACGCGGCGAATTATACAATATCCAACACTGAATTGACACAGTTGTTATCACTCAATGATTTTTCAATGTTTCCCTTATGGATACCCCCGAGAATGAGTTGGCACACAGTCTTCGTAAACGACTCCTGGTCATCAAGGCGCGTGACCGGGCTATGGCGGTGCTACACTATCTAACTGATGATAATCTACCAGCGACAGATGGGCGAACATGAGTGACAATATCGAAGAGCTGACATGTAGTAAGGATTGGTTAAACTGTCAATCACTAGTGTAGGCGTAAACGAGAGTAGGTGTCAGATGCGTGGGTTGTCCGTTATGTGAGATCCTGGGCTGTCACAGTGACATGACTCGTTTTTCTTTGAAATCATTGTCATAAAGCGAGCTTACGTCATGTTGTATGACGGAGGCGTCTGTGAGTTATTATCAGCGCTCATGTATCTGGCATCACCTCAAGTAAAGTGGTATGCATTCAGGCGATAGACCTGCCAAAGTTAAGCGTGTGACCACAGTTATGGGCGTAATACACAAACACGGAACGCCAAAATATAATTGTGGATAGATATCCAAAAAAACACGACGACGTAATAGGCTAAAAGCTATACTAATCTGAATGGTCCGTGTAATGTGTATGAAGGAAGTAAACAACGACTCACAGAGCGCAGCAGAGAGTGAGAAACAACGACGTGCTAAGTGGGACGGAACACACATCGCACAGTTGGAAGAAAAAGAGACAGAAGAAACGGTGTTGTAAAACTTACAGCTCGGCGAGGAAAACTCCAGCGGATCTAGGTTATTGACTGGATAATCCACGAGGATTGACATTTTCGATCTAAAACGCTCCCCAGAAAAGCGCTTCAGATGTAAAACCAGGATATATATATATATATATATATATATATATAGTGTACTTAGAGTTTGTGCTTTTAGTCGTAGATGTGCTTACCATCTCTTTGATCCTCCGAGTGCGAAGGGGTCCGGGGAAATTTCCTGGGTACAAAATATAACGTATCAGATGTAGGCCGTGACTGCACTTCGCTGCGGCGCGTCCATCACCACTCGCGGAGACCACTCGTCTACCGGCCAACAAATCTTCTGCGTAGATTAATGACTTCCGCGGGTTTGGTAAGATCGTTTTGGGAGCTAGGTAGCTGTGTGTTTATATGGTGGTGTGTCATATCCGTCACGTCGCAGTGTTGTTCTACAACTTTCTGTGGGGTTTTTATATATGGAGCGCTTGTTTAGCCGAATCCCACCGCGTCCTGAAACGCTGCAGCCTAATCATTTGTTGGAACGAGATTTAGCCGAACAACCTAGCTGGCACCACATTGAGGTTGTTCGGGGAGCCGCGATTTGTTCCTTTTGGTCACGAAATTTTCAGCTAATTCACTGTAGCTTTGTAATACTGTCTGCGAATCTTTACTGTGCAACTTGGTGCAAATCTTGAGGATTCTATTAGGTACTGTGCGATCTTTGATCGGGTATACGGGTCTTTTTACTCCCGTGACAGCAGCACAGCCTTTTCCCTTTTGCACATCCATTCACAAGATATTGCGTTTTCGCTGAAGTTCTAATAGTGCATCCGCAGTTGATGCTGCAAAATTCTGAAAATGCACCCATCTGGGTGCATAAGGTTACATTGAATGAATTTGAGTAGAAACAGAGGCGTAGCTCTGACATTGGAGTTCACACTAGTAGGACTGGTTACGTTAAAAGCGCACGAGGCGCAGACTCGGCTTGTGCCACCGTGTGGGAATGTGCGTTCTCATACTACTTATGGTTAGCCTCCTTATCCTTTGCTGCGCTGCAACTTCACCTACTGAAGCGCTCGACTAACTCGCAACACTGATCGTGGTATGCCTAGGTAGAGTTCCACTCAGATCGTGGCACGACTGGCAGGTATTTTTTTGCTCTACATGCGATCCATTGCTGCACCAGCTGATTCGCATCATTGTTTTGCGGACATCTGCGATCCTGCCTTACTGGTATTTTAGTGTTGCCGCGCTCATGATTTGCTGTCTGGTCATAATGCTCGATTCTGAGAGAACAGTTTACCTCTCACGGTTGATTCAATCTCACTCTGAATTATAACATTGTTGAAATACATAAAGGTTTTATTTTCGACAAGGTAAGGCACGCCTTTACAGGCATGATCATTTTGACATAACAATGCATGCTCAAGTATGTGCACAAATCCGATATGTTTGCCGTAATAGTGTAGCTTTGTGTAGGGGGTATGTAAGTATGTAATTGTATGTGTATGCAGCCACGTAGTTTGTGCTTGTAACTTTGCTGTTCCATTCTGGAATGTTTGATATCGTCGGGAATGTGCGAGTAGAAGATTGGTGTCCATGGGTTGGAAAGGATTATCCTGTTATCCATGGGGTACTGTCTTTATTTTGTGGCGAGTCACAACCGCCACGTCACAGTGTTGTTAAGCAGACATCTGTGGCTTTTTATAGGGAGAACGCTCGACAGGCGAAAACCCACCACATCTTGGAACACTGTCGCCGAACTATTTGCTGGAACGGGTTAAACCCGAACCACCCAGCTGGCACCACGGGGTTGTTCGGCTAGCCAGCGAAGCTGAGCAATTTTCCTGCCGTTGCTTCATTACCAGTCGATCTGACTTGGTCAGTGCATGGAGTAGGCATTCTGAATGAGTCGCCGATCAGTGATTGATGAACGAGTGACTTGACCACTTTGATTCCCATCTTGTGACCATTGCTAGTTCTTCTTAGTTCGATCACGGCCCTTTCAGTCTCATGTCGTTAATGATCCGCCTAAGTTCTTTCTTTCCCAGGTACTGGTAAACCGGATCTATGTCAATGCACAGGTTTATTGAATTCTCTGTAAAGAACTGCGCCTCGAGAAATTCCATTCCTTTTCTTGTCTCTGCCAGAACCTCCGTTTTGACCGTCAAATATGTTTCCTTTATCATCAACGTGTGTCGAGACCAGTAATGGCGAGTAATGCTTCTGACAGACTCGTTTGCGTTCTTATGACCTTGTTGGCAATTTCCTCCCCGTTTGACCCAGATAATGTGTGTCTCAATTTTTGCACTGTATCCTGTAATCAACATTCTGGCGTTCGTATACTCCCGTTTTCCCTTTCGGTCTAGACAGGGTTCCTTTCAGGGTGGCGGTTGGTATGTGAGCTACCGTCTGGTGGTGTGGCTTGAGGAGTCGGGCAGTCATTTCCGATACGTCCTTGATGTGCGGCAAAGCGATCCGTTTCGTTGTTGATGGTTCATATGTGGCATTTGTAATCTTTTTGTATTTCTTTGACTCAACTCCGTGGGTATCCGTTGCGCATGGAGGACCTAACCAGATGGTTTTATTCTTCTCGTTTTGCTTCTGCAGTATTGCGGTATGATTCTTTTTTGCGAATTAACTGATTTTGTAACATTTTTATTACTGTTGTTGAAATTTAGTTTCTGTGCGTATGTTCCCTGTGTACTACTGATGTTTACAGTTCTCCATGCGCTGTTCTAATAACCTATACCTCCAAAGTAGCTGGTTTTTCATATCTGATTCCATTGTGAAGTGAATGCCATTCACTACATTGTTCAGGAAATTTTGTATAGTCTACTACGGGATACGTTTGAATATCACAAACGTGTCGTCAACATATCGGACTCCGAATTTGGACCTCGTGATCGGGAGCAGATTCTCCTCTAATGTCTGCATGACAATCTGCAGAGTCCAGCTATAAGGAATCCCATTGGGGCTCCTTTTACTTGTTCACAGAACACTTCATTGAAGTTAAAGTGTGTTGTGAAGCATAGGTCGAGAAGCTTGTATGTTATCGCTCGTCAGATTCCCATTCATACCTCGTTGTTTTCTGGTTGCTCGCCAAACTGGCAAAACTTCGCACCTTAGTTAATGCATCTACTCTCCGTTTGCTCTACTTAGGATGAGTTGAATCTGCCGTGGCGACCTTCATCTTCTCAGCTTTTGAACTGAACGCCATTCTCACAATGGATGCATCCAGCGCCTGCGTACTCGCTACTCACTTTCCTGTGCACACTTTTTTCGACTCTTGCGAGGCTATATCCGCGCAAATCCTATTCATACCCCCCCTCACATGCACAAGTTCACAGAATTCGCTGACATACACACTCATACGCCCTGTGCCCTGCTGTGAATTCGTTCCGTCCACCACAAACCTTCCATCATCTGACTTGATCCCTATGTATGCGTAGTGCGTTCCCCGTTTTTCAGGTACCCATGCTCCGATTGCGTTTTTACCTTCCTCTATCCGTATTACGTGTACCGCTGTAGATTATTTGACCCAATGGGTTTGCTTGTGGAGAGTAGTCTTGTGTTACCCACGGTTTACCTCCAATTTGCTTCACACTTACCTGCTATTCTCAGTGCTCGTTGTTGGTTTGTTCACCATACATCCAGATTAATATATTACTTGCTTTGTTCTTGTGACAAGATATGTGCTGCATACATATTTCACACGGTTCAGACACCCATGCGGCTGCAAATCTACACTTCTTGCAGCACCAGGCATCTTGGGGCAACCATGTGCTCAAAATATGTAACCAACGTATTCACCATAACCTCTAAATGATAAGTCGTACATAGCTGCTGTTGTGAGAAACCATGACTCTTAAGATCTAGTCCTGTTCTCTGCAACGTTTTTACCTTACATGGCATTGAAAAATGAGCTGCGCTACGTCAAATCTAGCTTGTAAATCATGTTAGTCCGCGGCCATTTCCCTGGCCTAGTGACGCGAGTCGCTACTGTCGTGAGTTCGCTTCCTGATGGAACCGAGGGCTGTGCGCTGCTGACAAGTCCCTAAATGACGAAACGGCCGTCGGATGTTTTTCGGGATTCTGGAACGATATTTGACTTTGAGGCCGCTGCGACGAACCTACGATAATTCCGGGTTTTGCTGAATCGGTGGGCTTCTTTAACCATCAAGTTAACTTTATCGATTGCGATATGCACTTGCGTTTCTTCTCTTGATTCAAGATATCCTGCGCGTAGGCAACCACCAGCAGTACGCCTGTATGTCGTATTGATACTTCGCTGCCACGCAACCACCACTAATGGCGCTTGGGCTAACGATACTGCGAAGGTCATCCGATCCCCACGCAAGCTCAAGCCCGCGACCTCCGGATTACAAGGCATAACAAATGTATGGAGAAGCCCAGTGAGATCTCATCCAACCTGTTGCTTCTTGCTTTCATAGATTGGAACCTCGAGGTCGGCCAGCTTAGTGTGTGAAGATATTATCCCATATGGCACAGTCGAAAACTGAGTGGTATTCCTGAATTCGATCTCTTTCCGTCGTAATTAATACTTACTATTTTTTATCTCCTATGCGTTTTCGTTCATTTTACCCATCGTTGTTTTCCATCGTTCTACTACGGCAGTTGGATCGGTGCTTGGATAGAAAACGCTTAGCTGAAAGTCACATTATTGTCCTTCACAGCAGCCGTGCACCATTACTGGTACTTCCTTATGATGTGGAAAAGTAATGCCGTATCGCAATCAGCTGGCTATCTTGTAAAATGTGCACGGGATCACTTGACCGTTTCCAAGCAGCTTTCCCTATTCCTCATCATAAACAGCTTTGTCCCACAAACAATCCAGCATCATACGTAGCTTAAATAGGGAGCTTAGATGGCGGATGGCAGCGAACGAACCACCGTCATCTTTCTACAGGCTTACTGTGCAGTGACTCAAGGCAGTCATGTAGTGGTTATTGTGAGTCCCAGTCTGTATACTTAGCTTTAGCAACAGCAGTACCTTCATTTTACAAATACGCATTTCACGTGGCTCGTTGGCATCTACAAGACAGTGGGCGAGGATCGAGATATCGTTCAGATAAGTAGATGCAACATGTACGTTTTATGAGCTTTCCTTTCGCTCTAAATAGCAACATGTACTCCACGAATTTCCAACAGAATGCATTAAGACTGCACTACAAATACAGAACAGCAGAGTTACTGGGTCGCGGCCTGTTACGTTGTTAGAACAATCCTAAGTAATCAAGCACTGTCTTGAATACTGCGCACCATGCCACAGACAACAATTACTTGCTCAGCAGAGCGCCGAAACTACGTGCGGCGCTTCACTGCCGCGCAACCATCATTGGTCGCTTGAGGGCTTGAATACTGCGAAGTCGCCCGCGTAGCTACCAAGGTTTGAACCGGTGACTCGTGGGTTACAAATCGAATGTCTTGAACTCCACATCGCCGCTCGGATGTCAACTCATACTGGTTTGGAATTGCAACCATCCAATGTCTGGCATCCGATCAGTCACTCGCTTGTCGCAAACTGCGGAATTGAGGCACGAATCTCCGCTAGTCTACATGCATCGCATGCATTTTTCACACTTTACGCGAGTAACGCCTAAGTACGATGATTGAGTCAAGTAGAAGTGCGTGCTCATTCGGTCGGTACGTCCAAGTGGCACCATCATGACAATAATACGTATATTTCTCCTGAGGCGAGAAACTGTCTGTAGCCGCGCAGATCAATTTATGCAAAAGTATCCGTGCTCTTGCATGAGCGGTGCGCATATTTAGAGCAATGGGGTGTGCGCTTCATGTAGTTACCTTCCGGGGGATGGTTGAAGCAAAAGCTTAATTTCGAAAACATTGACATTTGGATATTTTGGCCGCTCTTGCAAAAGCTCATGAAGGTATTTTTCCCATGTAAATATAGTGGTTATGGTATTTGGATCAAGGTAATTGGAGGGTGCTTCTAAATGTTGTCTCATTGTCACCTGACCTGCGTGTTATTGGTAGTTTTTTCCACAAATAGCTATATCTCATCAGGAAGAAATTAGCGTGAACGTTCATTTTAGCCTGCGGTATTTCCAGTGTAAAACCTTTATTGTGAAACTCTCGAGTTGAGATATGATGTAGTTCCAGTGTAGGCAGGTCGGAATAGGTCCTTGCCTATAGCAGGTTGAAAAGCAGCAACAAGTTGTGCTTCAGTCGTCTGATCCAAATTGCTTCGAGTTGGAGTTCATTGTAGCGTTCTCAATAACCCATGACAGTGTTTACCAATTAGATTTTTAGTAAATGACCTCTGCAGATACTCCATAGAAATTCTGTCACTTTCTCATATCGATGTATATTATGCTGCAGTATTCGAGGGTGGGGACAGTGAGTAGCTTAGCAAGCTCAACCATAACTCGTGTTGTGTGTGGTTTTGTCGACCGGTGGCGGAGTAGTCTGCACGTAAGGTCACCGGTTCGAATCCGCGTAGAGGTGGGCGTTCTCGCGGTATACTCAGCCCGCGCGCGACTGGTGGTGTTCGCGTGGCAGCGAAGCGCCGTTGCGGCATACAGTTTACACATTATTTTATTATTATTGTGTGGTTTTTGTTTGAAATATTGAACATAGATTGTCTGGCACTTGGTATTGGGCGTGTTCGGAGAAATTGGAGATAGATGAGTGCCTAATTCAAAAATAACGCGTGCACAGCTGTGTACCGACGTATTCATTGTATAGATCCTTCGGGCATGGAGCAGCCTCACAATGATGTTTGATTTTTTAGGGGAGAGATTCGTCACCCCGCTTGTCACCATGATTCAAGGGAAAGTAAAACATCTTATATGAGCAGTGGCGTTCTGTGATGTTCGTCACACCTAAGCTTATAGACGATCTTGATATCATCAGTGAATAAAAATGGCCGACTAGGTTTTACTGATGTGATGTCATGGATATAGAACAGAAAGTGTGAAGGGGCATGTAGAAGAGCGATAGTCACCAAAACTGACGACCACACAGGTATACTGAAGCCAACTTAGTAGTGGGTCCCGGATCCCAAAGTTCTCCAATCTTGGAAACAATCACTTGTGAGGCACTCGCTCGAACGCTCGGTGTATGTCTAGAAACGGAATTACTGCTGGATAGCCGGAATCGATTAATTGTGAAATTTGGTTCACCTAATGCGGGTGGTGCACGACCTCTTGCTAAGAAAATCATGCTGCAAATGATTAACCAAGTCAAAAGAATTGGCTATATTCCTCATTACATTTCGGAACAGTTTTTCAAGTAGCAGCGCATATCGCAATGTGGTTTATTAGTCGGTAGTTTCCAGTTGTTTGTTTGAGACCTCCTTTGTGCCTAGGCATGATAGATTACGTTTCCATTGATCTGGAGAGTGGCTAGACTCCAACGACGTAAACGCGCTCATCTGTGCCATTTTACTGGCAAATTCACGCATAGTGCTAATAAGCGTTCTTTAAAAATTAAAATAACGGGTCGTTCATTCAAGTTCACGCACGCATCAATTCGTGCTCTCCCTAAGGGGTTACTTGCACTTACAAGCATTGGCACTCTCATTTTTCCTGAGACATTAGCCAATGGGATTCCCTATATGTATGCACAGGGCTAGATGTATGCGTCTAAGGAGGACAGGTATGCTCCCGAGTAGGTTAACACACTGCTGTTAACGGAAAGCAGACAGGGATGAGAGTGTCAGTGCTAGAGGTCAGCAACAGTGCGCCTTACTGGTCAACCTAGGATGAGGTGTTTACAGTTCTCCGTCAGTACCACTAACAGATCTTTTGTCAGAAGAGTTATCATTGGTTCGTATTCTGGACCGGGCCGTTGTCTCTGTGCTAAATTTCCAGCGCTTGTGCGAGCAGTCCGTAAAGTATCGAGCACACAGTATATGATCCGTCCAAGGTGCACAGTACCAGAGGCACATTTGGGCTCCAGGTTAGTATTGCTTCAGGTCGAAACAATATACCTCATGAAGCCAATAATAATAATAGTAATAATAATAATAAACAGAAGCATAAGAATAATGGGCGTATTTCACTTCAAATGGAAAGTTGTGGCAATATTTGGCACAGAACATACCCCTACAGGGGATGTCATGCTCATGCAAGAGCAATATCACGTTATCTTCTTTGTCTGCATTTATGCCAAGGTTTCTGCCCCATATGTTTGTCACATGCGATGGTAGGAGGCAGATTTGCTGTTTGAATATGTTATAGACACTGAGGACTAATTACACTGCGTGAATTGGTGATATTACACCCATTAGACATTATCTGGGCCTTCATGGAATGGATGTTCAATTGAGCTTCCCCACGTAAAAGACGATATGGTGTCCAAGTAAATGTAGCTTCCCAACTTACTGCGAAAGGATTGCACAGCCTCACACAACATGAGGGTGAATGGCAACCGATTCTACAGAGAAGCATAGATCGTGGGACGAAAGTTAGGTCTCAAATTTGTTCTGCATCGTGGTATAATCGGGTTAATGCTTCTGTTACCTAGGTCCCGCGTGTACTTGTGCTTCAATATCAAGGTGAACCGATTGCAATTGGTATTGCCATGAATCAACTTGTGCAACACTTTCAAGTTCTCTTTTTGTCTTCGCAGCCAAAACGGATGGAGATGGAGTTGCTTGTAGCGATCCCGAGAGTTTATGATAGAATTGTTACTCAATACGTG